CAGATTTTGGGAAGGAAACCCAAAGGCTGAAGAGGGGTGGGGCCCACTGGGTCTAAAACTGGAAAACTGCTTGATCATAGCTGTGTTTTACTGCTTTATCCTGGTATCTGGTGCTTTTCGGCTGCAGTTTCATTGCAGTTTAACATACAGTGTCAGCTTTTCTGGTGTTACTGAAACTAACCTAGCTTCCATGTTGGGAGTGAAAGATCCCAGGTTATCCACATGGGTTGATCTGAAAGCTCTTGTCCCTTCCCCCAGCAGAAGGCTTACAGGCATTGCAGGAAGCAAAGGGACAGCCATCCAATTATGGCTACTAAGAATTGTTAGAGGCTTGTCTCTGCCACAGTGTGCGTGGTGGTTTGCTTGAATTGCCCCACGATATTCTCACATGTGACTGCTGTACGTCTTCTTTGGGTACTTAACCTTGTGTTTTGATTTGCAGAATGATGAACAGATACACTGAGAATGTTCTAATGCGCTGTTGGCCGCTTGAAAAAGGCAACCCAAATCAGACCAAAATAATCTCAAACTAGGCCTGTGAGAATAGGTGGATATTTTTGTATTAGCTTCTGGTGCATGTAGTGGGGGATAATCCCATTTCATTATATGGGGTTATTGTGAAAATAAAAGTACTAACATTTGTATATAAATGATACTGTGCGTGGCAAAAAAAATTGATATAAAATGTAGTAAAAATGCATGAGCCAAATGTTGGTTGGTAGGTTTAGCCTGCAGGGAATTTTACAACTGTTAGTAATCTTATTCCCAGAAGATTTGGGTAAAATCTGTTCAAGCAGTTTTAGCGTGGGCCTTTTTTTTTTTTTCTTTCAGGGTGTTGATTTTTTTTTAACTTCAATATCATTACTTCAGTAGCATGTATATAAGACAAAAAAATGTTTACTTTGGTTTTGTCATTTTCTTTAGTATCTAGTGCCCTTTCCACTTCTGTCTTCCCACATTCTCTTTTCTTTGTCTGTCACCTTTTCATGCAAAGTACAGACAGATTTACAAAGTTCCTTAGCCCTTGGGTCTGTTGGGGAACAGGGTTCTGATAGGGCAAAGCTCCCTCCCTACCATCTGTATTCATGGGTTCCTGAAGTCTAATCAACCAGTTTCTAGAAGTAATGCTTCAAATCCCTTTTTGCTATAGGGCTTTGGCTACAGTGTGTGTGGTTGGGTTTTTTTGTTGTTTTTTTGTGGTGTTTGTTTATTTTTTTGTTTAGAAAACAGAGCCCCTTTCCTCTGCACACTTGGATTTTACAGTTGCTGGAAGGAAGGAGGAGCTGTATTTTCTTACTGCAAAAGACAGTTTGCCAGAACTGCCTGAGCTAGACTTGGCTCTGACAGACAAAACTTCATAGCCTTGCCTTAGTCTTGTTCTTTGCCTCCAGGATCGCTTCATCTGCTGTTGTCTGTACGTTCTTGGTTATATAGGAACTTGACCTGACCTTCAGTAGAGTCTGCAGGACCTTGGCTAGTAGGAATGAGAGTAGCTGAAGCCTCAAGTTGTGCGTTTCTTTGCTTAATAAGACCAAGAATGAGAGAAATACTGTATCTGCCTGCAGATTTAGGAGGATGTCACAGCATTGGAGATACTCAATCTTTAGAAGGCTTATTTTTCAAGAAGGCGCAGTGGAAATTTCTTGAATACTCTGCCACTCAACTGGCAAATCTTGATGTAATTCTAGTGGTTTTCTTATCCTCTTGTAATTGTCAGGAAGCTGCAATTCTGTTAATTAAGCATAACTGTTCTCACAGAAGAGGATTATGTATCCAATTCTCCATGTTTGGTTGTTCTGTGATAATCACTGATTTGAAAAGGGACTGTTAGTACAAATTGTTTCTTCAGACACGCTGATCCGGTGTCCTGTTTGAGCTGTTAAGTTGAATTTAGGGAAGAGATCTTCATATAGTTACTTCTGTAGTAGTAAATTAATCTATGTTGGAGAGCTGAAATGGATTCCTTAAAAAAATAAGATTAAAAAAAAATCAACAATTTTTTCCACTTCTTTGCATGACCAGGTGTGGTTTTGTATTGTAAGAAATTTATGAAGGACTGTATTAATCCAGCTGTTTTCATAGTAAACATTTTTATTTTTCAGGTTCACGCTTTTTTTTAAAAAAAAGGAATAGAACAGGAAGAAATGGCAGCAGAAACTCAGACACTTAACTTCGGGCCTGAATGGTGAGTTTTCTGTTTTGTGAGACTCTGGAATCTTGTCTAAAATTTTAAAGAAAACCATGAATTTCTGTCCTTTAGGACTGAATTGATTATAAGACTGAATGGGAAAAGGCTTTGTTCCCTAGTGCTTCACCTTAGTCCCTGGCCTGTGACTGAAAACAGTATTATGAAACTAGTCTTTGTTTGTAAATTGGCATTGTGTATGAAATGGGTTGGGTTTCATGTTATGGTAATGCATACCATTCACATAGCTACCAAGTGTCTGAGGGAGGCATGATGTTTAGTGTCTCGGAGGTATACGCAGAGTAAGTGAAGATGACAACTTATTTGGTCTTCCCATGTGATACATGTTAATAAGGAAGTTATTACAACCTCCTTACTGGACTTAAATGTATAGCTAAGCAGACTTTCTTTTCACGGTATTAAAAAAAAAAAAATCTATGTGGAATACAATAAAAGTGCGTTTTGTGTCAGTCTCCTGCATGTGTGCACTGAAGTGTCAGAAAAATGAGCAGTCATGTTAAAGGGGATCCATGACATTGTAAAATCTTGTGCCAGCTGTTAGCTTTCCAGCTTGTCTGACAAGATTTGTCCTGACTTTTACTAAATTGTACAGTAATTGCACAGGTGTGATCATTGTTCAGTATTTGTTCCAATTTCTTGTTGAAGTGTTGGTGACTACAATTACAAACAAGAATTCGGGATGGTGTGGTTTCTGAAGAGTGATATGATCCTTAAGTGTGTAAATGGGAGTGTGGAGTGGCGATAGGAAATATAATTGCTGCGTAGCATGTGGTAAGACTATTACTGGAATAATGTATTCACTTTTGCTGACACATTTTTATACACAATGTACAGAAATTGGAAAGCATTCAGCAGAGAAATAAGGCATGATTTGTGGCCTGGAAAACAGCGACAGAGCTCTGTCTATTTTGTTAGATTGGAAGAAGGTTAAAGAATGTCTATAAATACATCCACCAGGCAGGTATCTTCTGCTGGAGTGCTCTTCAGTCTAAGAGACAGACATCATTAGATTGATGGATGGGTGGAAGCCAAAGTGATATTACAAAAAGGAGAAGGGGGAAGGCAACTCCAAAAAAGCATATATTTTAACAGCAACTTGATTGCCTTAATAGTGAGGGGACTTCAGACTCCATTTAGTTTAAAACCCAGATTAGATTACGTTATGAAAGTACACATTATACTTCAGTGAGTTACTAGATGTTTGTGGGAATAATGGAATAAAATTTTAAGATTTATAATTATTCTTCTGGGTTGCAGTATAGTCATGTCTCTCAGGTATACTGTTACATCACTTAATATTTACACTCAGTCACGTTTGGTCTGGATTGGAGTTGAACATAACACTGAGTCACCTCATCCTTTGAATAGTGCCTCCCTAGCCTTTTTTGGTTCGGAAATGGTACGTAAAGAAACTGCCACTGGGTGGCACCAAACTAAAAAAATAAGATAAACATTTGACTTGCAAAGTACTTTTTCCTTTTTTTGAAAAGAATAATAATAAATCATAGCATGCCTCAGTAATTAGGCAAAAGGTAGCCTTTGAATCAATGTTTTAGTTTAGAACACCTTTTCAAGAATTTTGTGATTGTTTGGAATAGTTTTAATTGTTTTACTTGTCTAGGATGCACATTAAGGAAAATGTAGGAAAATGACCTGGCTTTTGTTTCTTGACATGCATCCTTTTGTAAAACATTCCTCAAATTTTAAAATACAGGATGTCTGGTTAGCTGAGGAAGTGATTGTATAGAATGAGACTAATCTACCTGTAGAATGGGAATAATATCATACGACTGTAAGATCCTATGTGCAGGAATTTGAGTAGCTTACCTGTGTGAGATGGGACCAAATTCAATAGCATATTTATTTGTTACTGTACCTTAGATTACTGCTTGAGCTGTCTCTGATGGAAAGTGTAGCTGTATTTTGTACATCTCTTTTTATTGAGACAGTAAGCTAAATGGTGTACATGCTCTCTGAAAAATGCCATTAATTTTAAGTTCTGGAAGAGCAGTTTGGAGTACAGTGTGATTCCAGAGAGACAGAAAGAAAACTCATTGCCAAATTTACTGTCTTACACTGTTAAACTTTTCTTAACATCTGAATAAAATTATTCCTTAGATTCATGTTTGTCACACTGCCTGTAGGGTGGTAAGAATTTTTCTTGTCAAAAAGAAGCTGTTGTCATTAATGTCTGTGGAAGATTTACAACTGAATTCTGTGCAGTGAGTGTTATACCTTAGTCAGGGCTTTAGGGGTTGTGGCTAGCTTCCTGTATAGTCAACATGGAAGGGTTCTCCAGGGGATGAGTTGAATTCCTTGATGTACTCATGGGAATATATATGTTTTTCTTTGTCTCTTGACTATGGGAAAAATGAGGGAAGCTATTTCACTACTCTTGCTGAAACACCAAGTTTTAGGGTTTTGAAGTTAGATGGTGTTAAATCCATTACTGAAAGTAAAGACATCATTTTGTTTGTGTTGAATTTGTAAATGTGCAGAGGGATGATAACATAGGTCACGACACATTTTCCTTAATTCAGTTTTTGCTGTTTTTCTGCTTTTATTTTAGGCTGCGAGCTTTGTCTAGTGGCGGGAGTGTGACGTCCCCTCCTCTGTCTCCGGCTTTGCCAAAGTACAAACTAGCAGACTATCGCTATGGGAGAGAAGAAATGTTGGCACTTTTTCTAAAGGATAATAAGGTGAGCAGTAAGAGGAAGGTGGCCTGATGTGTGTATTCTGAATGACAGTCTTGTGATTAGGAAGAGTTATTTGTTTTTTGTGATTATGGACTAAGAAATTGGGTATTCCTTGGCAAAGAACTGAAGAGGTCCAGTTGTGGGCTTTTTTGTATGTGCTTATGTGCTGGATTCAGCCAGGAAAGGGTTAACTCTTTACTGTGGCTGCTAGAAAGCTGTGTTCCTGGATGCAGGGAGCAGCACTGATAAGTTCTTAGCTGGCACTGAGGAATGTCTGTACCAGTTTCAAG